GCCTCGAGCAGGGGCGGCCCGGTGGGGCCCGGGGCCGGAGACGCCGCCGCGTCGTCGGCTGCTGCTGGTGAGTGCGGGGCCCGCTTGAGCGGGGCAGGCAGGAGGGGCCGGGTGACCCGGCCTCACGTGTCGCCCCCCCGGCGGCCCCGGGGAAGTGGCGGGCGGCCGTGGCAGCCCCGTGGGGCGTCTGCAGCCCGGCTTTGCACAAGGCGGTTGCGATGGGGCTGAACCCCAGCAGGCAGGGCTGGGCCCTGGTGACCTCGCTAAGGCCCAGCGCTGATTTTCTGCCGACGAGGCAGGCGCCCTTTACGGCAGGACCCCGGCAGTTTCCTTCATTCCCGAAGTTTAAAATGGGCTTAAAGGTAAGGCTCTAACAGCTAGCCCCAAACTTGGCTTCTGGGGTTGGCTTTGCCTGCAGGATCTGGTCCCTCCGGCAGTTCCCAGACCCCCTCCCTCTTCCAGCCTGCAGCTCTACCCGCAGGTGGGCTTCAAAGCCCTGCAGCTTAAGGGTTATTGTGATTTACTGCTGAATAGCACTGTTGCCCTATTGGTAAGTGGGCTTTTGTTCTGGGACCTAAGCTTGCATGAGCTAGTGGGTTGTATATAATACACTCCCTTTCTGGAGGATGGGTTAGCCTGGAGTTTCGTGGGGTTAGTCGGTGGGTACAGTCAGTTCTAGGCTTTGTGCTGCTTAAGCTGTTTTTCTGGTGTCCTGCCTGGGACTTACCCTGCATGTGTGGAAATGATAATGACAGGATGCAGTCTTAAAAGGAATGTTTGGCTGCATGTAACTGGGTGCAGTGATTTAAGAACTTATTTTTTGCAAGCAGTTCCTGTGCAGAAAGGGACTGACTTTTTTTTTTTTTGGAGCAGTGGCAGTCGTCATTTTTAAATTTGAGGCACCCCAACATAATTTGCATATTGAGCAGCACCCTATTTCAAAATTGGACTTATTGCAGTGCTTGCCTTTTTGCAGGGGTGCTGAGCAGCAAGAGTGGGGAAACAGCCATGCAGGGAGAGCTTGAGCCTGCCTTTATCTATTTATTTCCTCACACTTCCTGTGGCATCCTGATTTAGAATTGCTGCTTTAGGCCTATGGCATTTTGGACAGACTAACAAGTTGATTCATAAGTTTTACTCTTGCTAAACATTAACCTGCTATCTATTTATTTTTGCTACAGGAAGTGTTATTGGAGATGGGGCTGAGAAGAATCCATTAGGCCCTTGGCCTCTGAAGACCTTGGACTTGTTGGAGCATTCGGTAGATGTAAGAATGTGGCAAGCCTACCATACAGGCCTGGTAAAGTTTCTTGCCTTCAGAGAAAACATGGGAATGCCTCCAGAATGGCCAATTCCACCATATCAAAGTAGAGGATTTGTGGTGGCTATGGAGTCCCTAGGCTTACCTTCACCAAAAATACTGATATACTTGGCAGCACTCTCCTACCTCTCCAAATTGACAGGTCATACTGATCCTCTTGAAGACTTTGTAAACAGGCATATGGTGATAGCATTGCGTCAGAGGGATGATGCTCCAAGGGGTGGTGCTGCTCCTGTAACCATTGAGGTCTTGCGATCAGTCTTAGGATCTGTGGAGTCTGTTTGCAGCTCACAGTATGAGTGTTTACTTTTTCGTGCTGTATTTACTGTGGCATTCTTTGGAGCACTTCGGGTACAGGAAATGGTGGCAGAGCATCAGAACTGGGCACAGCCAGAGCTGTTGTTCCTGAGTGATCTCCAGCTGACGGAAGAGAGAGCAAACCTTCGATTACATACATCCTTCCTGGGTCAAGAAAGATTTTTGATTTCTCTTGGATTATGTGGAGAGACCTGGGTATGCCCTGTTGAAGCACTCTGGAACTATGTGGCAGCTAGGCCACGCAGGGAAGGACCTCTCTTTGTTCATTCTGAAGGTACACCTCTGACAAAGAGACAGTTTTTGGCTGTCTTCCGTTCTTCTTTAAGACTACTTGGCCTTCGTTCAGAGTGCTATGGTGCCCATTCCTTCTGGTTGGGAACTACTGTCACACTAATAAGAAGTGGATACTCTGAGGAAGATGTTATGTGGCTAGCAAGATGGCCTTGTAAGATCCTCAGAAGGACAGTGTAACAAGTAATGTGGTGACCTCACTATGTTTATCCCAGCCTTAATTTCCTGCTGGTGGTCTACTTGTATTACAAATAGTATTCCTTCTGACATCACAAGAATGTGAAGGAGTGGGGAGGGCAGCTGTCAAAACATTAAAAATAATGGGTATAATCTCTTGCAGCTGCATTCCTCCTCTCTTTCCCCTCCCCTCATCTTTAAGGACTTTGATAGTGGCCCTTGAATTGACTAGCTCCATCCACTTTTAAAAGCTGCTAATGCCACAAGTACTGCCCTGTGAGCACTGTAAACTTAACTCATTAAGTATATAGTGCTACTTGCCCTGGAGTTTCAGCAGCCCTGAAACAGACTACTTTCTTCTCGCTTGTAAAGCTTCTAGTAGCATTGAAAATGAGGAGCTAGTCAGTCTCTCAGTCTCACAATATTGCAGCCCTGACACTGCTGTGGACCTCTTATTAAACTGCTTATTAAGTTTGGATAGATGTCCAAGGTACAAAGTGCATGTGCTTTATTACCTACAATGCAAGGTTAAATGCTAGCTGTATTTCTGCTTGTTATCTAGTGTGTTTTAATAAACTTATTAACAAAACTAATTTGTATAGCAAACTTTAATACTTAAAAAAGCATCCAACCCAACAAAGGCCAGCATATAGGCACAGAGGATGTATCCTTTGTTATCAACAGTGCTTCCATAACTCAAGTTACTGTCTTCTGAGGAGAGTTTTATGTTCTGTTCTTTTCTTCCTTTCAGGCTCAGATAGCTTCCTTACACTTCATACTCTATGTCAAGCTCTTGTTTCTTCACCTCTATGTAATCTGTTTAAGGATTCCTTTCTTCCTTGTCCCCTTTACTCTCCTGAAATTCTGCAGAATAGAAGGGGCACTATTTTGCTTTTAGTTTTTTAATTTGTTCTTAACAGATAGAACTTCTATTCTCCTTACCCTTTCTGGTCTGGAGGGAGAAATCTGTTTTCCAAGGACTTATGCCCTGTTTCTAAGTAAGCATTTCTTCTCATCTGTCGAATGCTGATGTGGTAAGGTGGCTTTAACTGAAAAGCTTCCCAAACTTTATGAACCCAGTCAATGATTTTTCTCTCTCCCTCTCCCCCCACCTCCCTTTGAGTGTTACTCTTGCAGGCTTATGTAATTGTAAGTCTTTTAGCCACTGAATATAAGTGATTAATTCTCTATGACTTTGTTGCAGAATTCTCAGGAGTGTGTTCAATAAGAACATTATGGGGTTATCTAGAAAAAAAATCAGTGATTTTAAAAATTGGATTTTTTAAATGTATTTAAAACAATATAAATTGTTTTCCTTAAATATAAACTGGCTTGAAATTTAAATTTGAATTTAATGCAGCATAGGCCAGGGTATACATTTAGTGTAATGTATTTTAAAATTTCATTTAACTCTTGAAGTCAAGCTTTAAAAATATAGCACTATTTCAGGTATTTGGGGCTTGAGTCCCCCCACAGGGGAAGCAGGGTCTGCCTTACAGGATGCAAAGGATCAGCAAAGTCATTGTAGGTATGGGAACCTTGCCTCTGACTCCAGCAGACAGCAGCATGTGTACTTCTTGATCTTGAAGTTTGAACAGAACTTCAAGAAATACCCAACAGACAGTAAAATGGATGGATCAGGCACTTACTTGCTCATTTTTTTCCCAATATACTTAACACAAAGTACCTGGGTAGATGCCTAACTGCTGAAAAGGAAAATGCTGCTATGGCATGGACACCTACTAATCGCACATCATTCATGCCAACCATAATAAATGTCAGGACTAAAGATGAACCATTGAAGCGGCACATGATTGCTCAGGATGCTTTAAAGAAAGTGACACCACTGTGGAAGTCACTAGCAAAGCACCTGATACCACAGTTTGCTGGAAGTGCTAAACCAGCTTTTACCAGCAGTAGCCTCTCTTGCAGGTGCTGAAAGAATATTTTTTTCATTTGGTCTTCCCCCCCCACCCCATTTAAAAAAAAAAAAACTTTTTTTTTTTTTTTTTTTTAGTTTTAAACCAGCAGTGGCAAATTTAGGCATTTATGCCAATCCATATGTATATTTGTTAGCAACTGAAT